TAGGGTCTGAGACAAATTACTGCTTCTCAATGGACCTCCATCTAGTCAAAGGTAACAGAGTGTTGTGACACCTTACAGAATGGCAAGGGGGATTGAATTATGAGTACGGACAATACCTGGCACAGTAGTTCTCAAGAAATGCTCTCCAAAAAAATAAATAAACACACAAACAAATAAAAAAATTTTTTAAATATTCTCCCTGTAGAGAACTTCCCGTTCCGTTCTGTTCCGTTCCGTCCGTTCCGTTCCGTTCCGTTCCGTTCCGTTCCGTTCCGTTCCGTTCCGTTCCGTTCCATTCCATTCCATTCCATTCTATTCTATTCTATTCTATTCTACTCTATTCTATTGTTTTTGTGGTACTGAGGATTAAATCCAGAGTCTTCACACTGAGCTACATCCCCAGCCTTTTTACATTACCTGTTATTTTGAGACAGGGTCTTGCTAAGTCACTAAGGTGCCCAGGTTGGGCTTAAACATGATCCTCTTGCTTAAATCTCCCAGAGTGCTGAAATGACAGGTGTGTACCACCAGGCCTGGCAGGAACACCTCATTTTTAATCCTTTTATCACTAACACTGGCAGCAGACCCCTTCATCCAAGGTGGCTCCTGGATGATGGATTGGGGTGTGGAGGACAGGGCATGAGGGGTTTTCCTTGGGCTCTAAGTCCTGATCTGGGTATTGCCCTATATTAGCTTTTTCTTAAAATATAGGGCTGCATCAGAAAATTCAAGGAACTTGAATAATAATTGTTATGGCTCACGTCTAGATGTCCCCCCAAAGCCTCATGTGGTCATAGATGGGGCTTTTTCAGAAGTGGCTGGATCTAGAGTGTGTCACACTGGAATTGATTCAAAGTGCAATGCTAGGATCAAGGACATTAGGATTCAGAGTGTCAGTGCTGCCCACCCTAAGCAGCCTGGATAAGATATAAGGATACAAAGAGCTGTGGTCGTCCCATGTTGTTTTGCCACCTTCTTCCCACCATGAACTATTTGTCCTCTACGCTGCCCCTCTGCCAGGCCACCCTGCTTTGGAGCCAACTGATTATGGCCTGAAACCTCTACAAACTGTGAACAAAATAAACCTTTCCTCCCTTAACTTTGTGTCAGATATTTTGTCTCAGCAGTAAGAAAAGTAACTAGGGCAGTAACATATCTTCATGCAGCTGTGGTTGAGTCTGCAGCCATTTAGTCCAACAGGAACCCTAATTTATGCTTTCTGCTCACAAGGTTGGAAAGTAGCGTCACAGAGAAAAAATTGAGTCCAAAAGAACATTGAGCTACGTGCTTAAAGTGCCATGGTCAGCAAGCAGCAGCCTCAGAACTGTGGCCCAGATTGATGTCCTTGCTGGACATGACCTCCTGTCCCCATGCTTCTGCAGGAGAACTCACACACACACTGCTGAAGTAGGTCAAGTTTCCTCATCCCTCACTTATCTCGTGAGAACTGGGGTGTATGCAATGCCACTGCAAGGATATGACCCGGCCCCCACCGCACTTAGCATGTCATTGTGGTTTCTTTCTACGGAGAACTGGGAAGTGGTAAACGTTTCCCTTGTCTTTCTCTGTGTTTGCATGTGCCTGAGCCTGAAAACTCAACAGCAAAGCCACCAGGGCATACAGGTAGAGGGTAGAGTGGGAGGGACATTTTACAATGTATTCCAATATGAGTCCCACTATTCATTTCTTATAAAAATGGTAATAACAACAACAATAGCTAACAACTACAGGTTGAGAACTGTGTCCCAGCCATTAATATTTAACAATTCTTTTAATCAAAAAATAGCCCAACAAAATAGAATTTTCCATATTTCTCTGATTCTAAGAGACAAAGACACATTTTTAAATAATTACATACTAGCATTTTATAATCCAAGATAAGAAAGTACTGTCATACTGGAATTGGTAAGATTTTAAAAAATATCTTAGGGGCTGGGGATTTAGCTCAGCGGCAAAGCGTCTGCCTGGCAAGCGCAAGGTCGTGAGTTCGGTTCCCGGTACCACAGAAAAACCAAAAAATAAAAATAAAAAAATAAAAAAAATAAAAAAATCTTAGTACTAGATAAAATTAGGAACTGAGAGTGGTAGCACACCCCTCTGATCTCATCTACATGGGAGGCTGAGTTGTTTTCCATGCATCAACAATAGAATATGGTGTACGTGAAGTCAGAGGCAGAGACTGGAGTTATAAGGCCGGAAGCCAAGGAAGGTGAAGAATGCCAACCACCATTAGCAGTGGGAAGAGGTAAGGAAAGGCTAACCTCCAGAGCTATCAGAGATTATGCTTTTCAAGTTTTTTCTTTAAACATTCTCATTGTTTGGTAATTTTTTTACAGCAGCCATGGGAAATTAATAGAGGGATTTGCTGAATTCTTAAGGGAAATAAAGACCTAAAAAGGGAAGTCTAAGGTCAGGAAGAGGAGATCATGGGCTGTATAAGTTTGCTGTTAGTCAGTTTCATCAGAAACCCTGCAAAAGCCAGTTAACCTGTGCCTTGCTCCATCATCTAAGACCAACTCAGAAGTCCACTAGCCACATATTTTATCCTGATTGTAGCTATAGAAGTTGTGCCTCACCTTGACCATTAGTTTTTCAAATGCTTGCCCTTAGGCCCAAGGAAGCCGGATAAACCAGTATTGTTCATTCCTAATTTTTCTCATGTCTAGGGGATATTACACAGAGGACCCTGTCTCTCTGTGAGCCTTTGGGTTTTCATAAAAGAGAACTTTAGTAGATCCACTCCCCCAGGCAAATCTGCCCAGGTAACTGACACAGTTGGAGACTTTGTCAGATCCTGGAACAGAAGCCAGAGACAAAGAAAGTAACATGAGTTCTCCAAGTATCATGAACTGGACCCATGCTAGGTAAAACACACACAATCTCATTCAGTTCCCATAAGAATCTCATAAAGTAAGCAGTAGCAGTCTTCTGGTTCATACATGTGCAAGCAGGCTCAGAGGGGACACAATGTCCCTAGGACCACACAGCTTGTAAGTGATGAAAATAGATTCAGGATAGTTTGTTTGGATCCAGAGTCCATGCTTTCTTCCAGAGGGACTGCTAGCTCTCTGGAAGCTGGTGAAGGTTCAAAGCTAAGGCAAAGGATGGGCTCGGAACACACTGGGTTCATACTTGTATAACGCTTTCCTCACAGACAGAAGAATGTCTTCAGAGCCCCTGAAAAGGGGCCACCCACTCTCTGACGAAAGGGGTCTGGCTGATTGATTGGTACAAAGGTCACTCTGTGAATGGAATGACGCAGCATTAACGTGACTGGATTCCTCTGGGACGGCAGGTCATCCCAAAGGAAAAACCAATAAGAGTATTTGTCTACCTGGGGCTTTGAGGATTGATTCCACCCAGGTCTAGAGACCAGTATAGGTGGGAAAGAGCCAAAAATTAACTTGTAAAAGGGGGCATCGCTGTAGAGCTTTCGTTTTTTACTTCTCCTGTGTCCCAGCTCTCTCGCCTTCACCCTGTGGGACCCAATATCCTGAACCACTTAGGGTCAGGATGACTAGGAACAAAGCCAGGGCCTCCCTTGTCTCCCACCCTAAGAAATTTCCCAGTAAGAAGCAGCAAAGCTTTCCAGAGATGCAGGTTAAGATTACACAGGAATAGAACATGTTAGACCAAAGGTTTCACCAGTTTCTCTCCTAGAGTCCACAGACTGAGGAAATCATGTTTTCCTTTCTCACTGCCTCCTGACTTCCTTAGGTAATAATTGTCTTTTTCCGGGAAAGGAAACTGTCCAAGAGTCCAGTTTGGAAGCCAAGCAACCCTGCATGGGTTCCTTCTGTTAATAAGCTTGGTTCAAAAAAGCAGGCGGAAAGCTGTCCCTGGGAGAGGGCTTGGACATAGAGCAAGGCCTCTTCTTCACTGGTTTGTCTGCTCTAATTAGCTTTGAGGTTTACCCAGGACTCCTCTGGCCACCCCCACCCTAGCAGGACTGGTTCACCTGCGGCTCAGCTTTCCTGTGGCATTTTTTTCTTAGAAAACAGATAAGATCCTGGTTCCAAGTCCCTGCCTAACCAGTTGCCAGCTGTGTGATTTAGAGCGATCCACTGAATGGCACTGACTCCCATTGTTCTCATCCTACAAAAGAAGCGAGTCACCCCTGCCACCTCCTCACAGGGTTGGTCCAAATCAAAAGAGATTTCTGAAAACCCACTGAAAGCTAGGGCTGGTGCCAGCGCAGAGCACATCTGTATGAAAATCTTTGCCCTGTTACGATGGCAGCTGTTGTCTCATTATTCAACGTCCAGCAGCAGGCAGAGATCCTCCACTCCAGTAGTTCCTAGTGTGATGTAGAGAGAACATTCCTTTACAGCTATTTAAGAGCTCAGCTTGACCCACTTTGAGCTGCAGATTCAGTATCCTAAACCTGGACCAAAAACTGTATGGGGAAATGCTTTCTGATGTCTCCAAGGAGGAATCATCCTTTCTTCCTGTGTATGTAGGGAGCCTCCAGAGCAATTCTACCAGTACCATCAAGCAGCAACTTCTGTTATTCACTCACTCATTCATTCATTCATTCATTCATTCATATTCTCTCTCTTCCTCCCTCTGCTCTTCCCTCCATCTCTCCCTATTTCCTTCCTTGCCTTCTTCCTTCCCTCCTAGGGATTGAACCCAGGGCCTGTGCGCTGAACTACATCCCTAGCCCTTTTTTATTTTTTACATTGAGACAGAATCTTACTAAGTCACTAAGTTGTCCAGGCTTGGCTTGAACTTGTGATTGTTCTGCCTCAGCCTCCCAGAGTGCTAGAATTACAGGACACTATGCCTTTGATTATTTTCACATTTTTTATTAATTTACTTTTATTCTCAAGGTGAAATTTAATTATTTTCATGTTTCTGTAACCTGAAGGTACTAATACATGGTAAATCATATTTTGATTGTCAGAACTTATTATAAATTTATTTTGTAGTACTATGCATAACAATGGTGCATTTGTAATCAGTGGTATCCTGGGTTTGATAAAATGTATTATTTGCAGAGACTTCTAGGAACATGGTGAAGCAGTGAATGGCAACAAATCAACGTCTTTAAGATTTGGAAACCAGACACTGGAAAGTGACACCTTGGGGAAGAAAAGATGGAGGTAAATGGATCTCTGGGGCCCATGAAAGTTCTAAAGGCAAAATTGGAGCCCACAGAGAAAGTGAAGAGACAGACCTCACTGCAGAGAAAGGAGGGGTCAATCAGCACTTTCTCCCTGACTCCCAGGCTCCTGGTGTACAGAGGAGGATTGAATCTACAGTGAAAGCAGGGAACTCCAGATCCCTTCAGGGAGAAACAGTGGAATGGAGAGTGAAAGCTGGCCACTACAGCAGCTGGTGGGGACTCCAAGACAAGGGACTGCTCTATCCCTGGAGAAGGTGCTTGACCAGATGCCATTTTAGGGAGGCGTCAGCTGAACTCGGGACTCAGAACAGCCATGGGTTGGCTTCATCTCAGGGCTCCCAGTGTTGAAATTACAAAGTGACTGGGTGGGGAAAAACCATGGGAAATGTCCACGGTCAGGGAGCCGTGGTCTTGCAAATAAGAGACACCCAGAGTACAGTCAGGCGTGGTGGCGCACACCTGTAATCCCAGCAGTTGGGAGGCTGAGGCAGGAGGATCAGTGCAAATTCAAGACCAGCATGGGCTAGGAAGTGAGCTCAAGGCCAACCTGAACTGCATAGCAAGACCTTGTCCCAAAAAGGCCAAAAAAAGAACAAAAGAAAGAAAGAAAGAAAAGAAAAGAGAGACACATAGAGTAGGGTAGGCTGAAATCCTAAGGTCCCCACCCTATAGGCAGAGACCAGGACCAGCCTGAACTTCTGTGGAGTAGAAAGCACCAGAATCAGCACCCTGCCCTCCTCCTACTTCAGACTTGCTGAGGTGATCCAGCACCCTGCACTAATCCTACTACAGGGCTGCTGGGCTCATCCAGCATGGATCTGGGCTCCGTCTATCTCCTCTGTCTACCAGTGACACCAGAGTCATGCAGTGAATTAGACGCTACCACAAAGACCCCAGAGGATAACTGCAGGCTGGAAACCACAGAGAAATCTCTCTTTCTCTCTCTCTCTGTCTTTGTTTGATTGCTTTACTTTTCTAGATTGTTTTTGTGTTTTCATGAGTATGAACATTGTTTTCAGTTCTTTTGTTTTCTTTTGGTTTGGTTGTTTCCCTTTTTCATTTCCTCCTATCTTCTCACCAGTTTCCTGAAGCTTGGGCAATCTTCCTTTGGGCTTCAGCCTTGCTTCTAATCTCTTTCTCTTCTTTTATTTCTCTATTTTTCTTCTTATTCCTTTTAAATTTACTCCCCTGGGGGTAAAATCACTCTATTGAGTGGATATTTACTGTATATTTACTGTATTTTGCTGGATACTTACTGTATTTGTTTTAGATTTTGTTATATAATTATGAATCTTGTACCTATGGTTCAAGATGGCGAATGAACAGTTATCCCAGTTTGCCATTTCCTAAATGGTGCTTGATGCTATTATTATTGATTGTACTACTTTAGCCAAGGAGACACAGTTATAATGATCAATTGTTCTTCCTTTTATGCCAATGCTGAGATGGTCTGAGATTCATAAACAATACCATGTCCAGTACCAAAGAACTGGGTGCTAGGCCAAAAAGGTAACAACCTCTCATCTCTAATAAACTTAAGAGGCAGGATCTTGGGACAGGCTCAAAAGCTAAAAGGCAGCTATGCCTAGAAAGCATCTCTGAAAAAAAATTCCTTGATATGTACTTTGAGAAGTTGTACTCTAATTAAGATGGAAAACTCATAAAAATGGACAGATTCCTCGATACATATGAGTTATCAAAGCTGAATCAAAAAGATAAAAATTTTCAATATCTCAATATCAATGACATTGAAGAAGCAATTTTTAAAAACTACCAATGAAGACAAACTCAGGTCCTGACAGATTCACTACTGAATTCTACAAGAACTTTAGAGAAGATCTAGTGTCACTACTCCTCAGATTTCTTAATGAAACTGAAAGAGAAGCAACACTCTCAAACTCATTCCAAGAAGCAAACACTATCCTTATACCAAAACCAGAGAAGAATCCAACCAAAAAAGAGAACTACAAACCTATCTTTCTCATGAACAGAGATGCAAAAATCCTCAATAAAATACGGCAAACAGAATACTGAAAATCATCAAGAAGGTTATACACCATGACCAAGTAGGATTCATCCCAGGGATGCAGGGATGGCTCAGCATACACAAATCAATAAATGTAATACACCATATTAACAGAACCAAAGACAAGAATCACATGATCATCTTAACAGATGCAGTAAAAGCATTTGACAAAGTCCAACACCTATTCACGATAAATCCCCACAGAAAATTTGAATAGGTTTCTATCTTTTATCTAATAAAAGCCATGTATGACAAACCAACAGCCAACTTATCAAACTAAATGGTCAATACTGAAGGCTTTCACTCTAAAATCAGGAGCAAGACAAGGATGCCTATTATCACTACTCTTGTTCAATATAGTTCTGGAAACATTAGCCAGAGAAATTAGACAAGAGAAAGAAATACAAGGAATAAGGAGAAAGGAAGAAGTTAAATTATCATTATTTGTGGGTGACATGATACTCTACATGGAAGACCCTCAAAAATTCCACCAAAAGACTCTTAGATTTAATAACCACATTCAACAGTGTAGTAGGATACAAAGTCAATACTCAAAAATCGAGAGCATTACTGTATACAAACTCAGAGAGAGACATTAGGGAAACCACACATTTCACAATAGTATCCAGAAAAATGAAATGCCTAGAAATCAACCTAACAAGGAAAGTGGCAAATCTATACATTGAAAACTATAGTACTCTTAAAAAGGAGATTGAAGAGGTTATCAGAAAATGGAAAAACAGCCTTTGTTCTTGGGTAGGCAAAATCAGTATAGTGAACATGGTCATACTGGCAAAACTGGTGTACCGATTTAAAGCAATTCCAATAAAAATACCAATAGCATACTTCACAGAACTAGAAAAAGCATTCTTAAAATTCATTTGGAACCAGAAGAAACCAACAATAGCAAAAATAATTCTGGGCAAAGACAAGGCAAGGAATGTCATAATCCCTGTTTTGGAGTTATACTATAAAGCTATCATGATAAAAACAGAATGGTACTGGCAAAAACAAAAATCAGACCTGAGGATCAATGGAACAGAAGGTGCAAAGGCCAGGCATGGTAGCACATGCTTGTAATTCCAGCACTCAGGAGGCTGAGGCAGGAGGATC